ATATTTAAAAAAACGTAAACACGTCACTTACGATTGAAAAAATTTTATAGTTATTTACTACTTCATGTCGTTGACATTTACATTTCATTTATAAGTTTAAGTTATTTATAAACATTCGCTCTCAATACTTATTACAGGTTTATTTGAAAAAACTTTTAATAAGCTTAATATTAAAAATGCTTATTTAACGCTTATTATAGCAAACTTAATTTAAGTTATTTTTAAAAACGTTTACTGAAATGCTTGTTGGGTATGCACGTACATATGTATGTAGAATTGTAAGCGTTTGAATATTCTGAAGCTACATACATACATACCAAGAATGATACGTATGTATGTACGCACATATGGGTCTTTCCATGAAAATGTAAACCGGAAATGTAAGTAAATGATTTCCAACGACTTTATAACTTTAAATTTCATATTCCGATAACGAAAAAAGGTTATGAAAACGCGAAGCGGTAGGTAGAAGAAGTGTAAAGAAATTTAATAATATACATATATGAGTTATTAGTAAAAAAAAGACAACGAAAGCGTTTCTCTCAGTGGCAAGATAAGAGACAAGAAACACGCACCAAAAAGTGGGTATTTATGAATTTGTAAAATTTTCGGGTGATTTTTTTTCGTGCGAAACTCAAGATAGGGCAGAATATTTTTTAAATTTACTTTTTGAGAAATTTTCTCTTTTCGATTTCAAAGTTTGTATTAAAACACCCGCTACAAGAAAAATATTAATCTTATTTCAATTTGTGTTATATTATATTGAAACAACATATTTTAGCTATCGTTATGTATCCAATTTTCCTTCATAAATTAGTTACGTGATTTTTAATTAATTTACTTTATCTCAAAATTTTCGCATACACAAATGACAAATAGTACTGAATCCTACAAATTTTTAACTCATCTTTTCGCCTCGCTTCTCACAATTTTTATGGACTAACACCACACTGCGTAATATTTATGGAGTGGTCCTAAAAACATTCAAACATAGTAAAATATGCATAGAATATAGATAAATAGTAACAAGTCAAAAACTTATATAACCCGGGAATATTTAAAAAAAATCAATTGAATAAACCAAGGAATTTCGATAAACTAATAAGTTTAATGCCTCAATAAATTCCGACAACTATACATAATCATTAAATATCGATAACCGGTAAGCTCGACAAATTCGATACATTAGGATAGCTCGATAAAAAGTGATCTCCACGAGCACTGCCAATTACGTAGTTCGCTTCTGAATTAAGCTGATGCCACATAAAACTTTTGCTTCGCTTTACGTGACAGATTCGCTTTGACAGATAAGATGAATTGTATGAAAATGCACAAATAATGCCACATAAATCGTTTAAGCTGCAGCGCGAAGCGAAAAGATGGCCAACTCCCATCTTTTTGCGCGCTTTGACAATCAGCCGGTTTAATATTTATTTTGTTTCGTCCAAATTCNGCAGCGCGAAGCGAAAAGATGGTCAACTCCCATCTTTTTGCGCGCTTTGACAATCAGCCGGTTTAATATTTATTTTGTTTCGTCCAAATTCGGGTTTTCATGCAGAAACATAAAACTTAATTACATTGCTGATAATTTTAAAGCAAAATATATAAAATCCACAGCAACTTTTACGAGTACAAAATTGCCTTGTTGGCGTTCATTGTGGCATACCTTTTGCGTCAGGCGCTTTGCTGGCAAAGTTATAAATGTCACGCAAAGCTACAAAGTTTTATCTGGCATCAGCTTTACTTTGGTGAATTATCCCGTTTACACGACTCATCCCTAATTGGATTTGACAATTCATTGTGTTTTTCTTCCTCCCCTTCTTTGTTTTGATTTTTTTCTTTCTCTCTTGCTTTGACAACTGAGTTCGATAAATTTCCGATTAAAATTAGAGATGGTAATTGGATCTGAATTATCTAGAAATCATGAACCAAAAAGACAAGATCACGCGGGCAGGAGAGTAGCCCGTTAGAATCGCATTAAGGAAAAAAGTTGAACGACTTTGACATTAGCCGTTTATTTACATTTCTTCGTTGTTTACAATTTGGTGGTGGCTTTTTACTGCAATTTTCTTCATATTCGCTTGTGACAACGTGTGTACACATAAGATAAAGAATAATTTAACACAACGGCATGCTTTTTAGAAGAATTTGCATAATAAAAATCATTTTTCATGCGTTCAACAATTTCGCGGTTTTCTCCGTTCTCTTCGTTGTTTACTTCTTACAGCAAAGATGGCGTCGAGATTTCGGCAGCTAGAAAATAACTTTTTTCGTTCTTTCCGTCCCGCGTGATCTTGTGTCTTTCGTTCATGTCTAGAAATGAGGTAATTCCAAAGAACGTAGATAACAAGAAGGGACAACTCGTTATAATTGTGGCAAAAGTGCGCAACAGGGGCGTGCCTTCTCTTTTCATCCAATCAAAAAACGCACTAGAGCAAAAGAGAAGGCACGCCCCTGTTGCGCACTTTCGCTACAATTATAGCGAGTTGTCCCTTCTTGTTATCTACGTTGCTCCCAATTAAGCAGCACAAGCTGCTCCAGACGTGGGCACCCGACCGAAACTAAATGTCGTTCTCGAATTTTTTTTTTGCAAGAACGCTTCAAAACCAAAACCGAAATGCGAACAAAACTGTCGAGAACAACGTTCTCAATGCGAATTATATAAGAACGAACCCCTGTAGAACGTTCCCAAAGAGAACAAAATGCGAACAATACTTTCGGGAACATTTCTAAGCGAACAAAATGGGAACAAAAGTCTCCGGAACGTTTTGGCAAAGAATAAAAGTCTTTGGTACTTTCTCTCGAAGAACAATTTGGGAACTAGAGTCTCAGGAACTTTCTGACAGAGAACGAAACGGGAACCCTGAACTATTCGCGAAGAAAGGAAGCAAGAACACAATCTTTCTCAAAGCGTTCCATTGGTTTGAAATGTTTGAATAGTAAATTTAATCAAAAAAAACTGAAAGATACCCAGTAGATAATTTCAGGAGTTAAAAGCCCTTCCGGAAGGCCTTCCTGAGAATCAAGAGGCCTTCCACTCTACATTCCTTTCTCCTTTCCTTTCCTTTTTTTGTATGGAGTGGCAGAAATTGAAGGCCTTCCTCTTTCACTACCCATAGAAGGCTTTCCAGAAAGGCTTTTATAGGACGTGCTTCAGAAGGCCTTTTGGAGGAGTTCTTTTAAAGTTGCTTCTTTAATTTATAAAATTCATACATCTTTGAAGTATTTGCTTAAGGTTTGTATCAAATTTGTGTTATTGCAACTTAAAATGTTTACTAAAATTCATTTGTAATGCTAAATAATGTAAATTTATGCATTCGCATAAATTGTAAATGGATAAACCCTTATTGGGTAGGCCTCTTAGAATGGCTTCACTTAAGAAGGCCTACCTAAATTATCTTCTGGGTAATTATGCAAACAAAGTAAACGAAAGATTTAAGACACGAACTTTCCTTGTAAATAAAATGAAAAATTGTTCCATAAATGGATAGTTCATCCTCATGATAAACGACTTAGAAGTTTAAATGATCCAACTTTCCTCTGGCTTAGAATTAACAATCGTGGTACTCACTGAATCGATTTTTCATCCCACGACGCAGGCGTCCGCCCCTCTCATTCTTAACATAATTTTTCCATAACCTTTGTTCTCTAGCAGAACGTTTCCCAGGCTTTTCTTCTGGTTTGAACCTACTTTTCTCATTGGAAACGTTTCCGAAAGTTTCGTTCTCATTCGCATTTTGTTCCTTACGGAACGTTCCTTTGTGGGAACGTTCTTGACATTACGCTTTGTTCTCGTGCAGAATTAAACCAAAACAGGAACGTATTTTCGGTCCCTGGTTCTAACGTTGGTCTATAGGAAATTTTCGAAATAATTTGTGATTGTGTTTGAGATTTTAAAACGAAAATGTAATTTTATTGGAGTATATAGGGTAAACTGTTCTAGTTGGGATATATAGATATACATATGTATGTGTACAGAGTGTCCTAGACCACCTGTCCAACCCCGAGCATCCCCGACTTGGCGATTCATATTTTTTCGTTTTCCAATAAAAACATTTTTGTCCATTTCAGAAGTCCAGGACAAGTTGAAGTCAGAACGTCATTAAAGCTGATGCCAGATAAAACTTTGTGGCTTTGCGTGACATTTATAACTTTACCAGCAAAGCGCCAGATGCAAAAGATATGCCACAATGAACGCCAAGAAAACAATTTTGTTCTTCTTTTAAGGATCTATTGATTTTAGATGCTTNGCATAAAAATCGTTAAATCGTTATTAAAACAACAGATTTGTAAAATAATAGCTAGAGAAAATACCGCCTCTCAAGGCAATGCCTTCAAAGAAAAACCATTTTTTCGCTCTCCTGTAAAATTTGAGTGCCGTAAGATAGGTGGTTTTGCGGTGGGCGGTTTTGCAAAAACATAGACGGTATACACTTGATATATGTAATTCACATAGTATATACAAAAACAGTTAAATGTAGAAAAATATATTTATGTATGTATGTATGTATCAGCATCTTTTTAAATTCTTGATTAATAGACATAATAAACTATTCTGTTTCGTCAGCATCACTTGTATCATCACCGTTTTTACTCTCCAACTGAATTTTTCTTTCTTGCATTCTCACGCATTTCGGACAAACCATATTTTTCCGGGTCATGCAGACACGATGGTAAATTGAATTACATTTATCACACATAATGCAGCCATCATCGAAAGGAAATATTACTTCATTATTCCCGCATATTTCGCAAATATATGCTTTGGCTCGACATATCTGACAATTCCGTATATGCCGATCGAATGCGTTAAACAATTTTTGTATACAATCGATTAGAATGCCTTTTTCAATAAGCTCCAAGTCACTTATTGAAAAGAATTCGGTGGATTGAATGAGGTGACGTCGCGAATCGTTCCCACCTGCAGTATCGTTGGTAAGGTGAGCGATTATTTGCTTATCTATAAGTTTTTCCTCAGCTGCTGTACGACATTTTAATAAATATTTCCTCATATAGAATAAATTTTGTCGCAACTTTTTCACGGTACCCATCTTTTCCAAGAATACAAACAGCTTTGGATTAGCTTCCTCTAGCTTAATAACCGGTTTATAGTGGAATAGAGAAATTTCTTGCAGCGAGGCACGAGATACTTTGTGTTGCATAAAATCCCAATTATGAACTACTCGAGCAGGAATAATGCTACTATCGTTCCAATGGCAATTTGGGCAATAGTATAGGCCACTATAGTCGCACAAACGCGGTTCAATCCAGGAATTTTCTACAAACATATCAGAGAACGTAACGATTAAAAATTTCATTATAAAAAAATCGCAATGAGTTGTAAAATGCAATAATAGGAATCAGTAAATTTTTATGACAGCATCTGATTTAAAAGAAACCATAAACCTATGCGAAATTAAGTAATTAAAATTAGTAGATATTAATTGGCATGGTGCTGGGGAAATTATAACTATTTTGACATTTTTATTGTGTAAAATATTAGAAAAATAATAATATAAATAAAACTAATACTCATAAACCGTACTACCAATGCAACGAATTGTAAATGGACTTAATTTGTTACAACTTATAACAAAATCTTTACCCTGTTTTTTATTTGAGCCAAAACAGCTAACCGACTTGGGTAGTGCTAAATGAAAATAAAAACATAAATTAAAGAAATACATATAAACTAGAAATATACAAAAAGATTCCTACTTAATTCGTTCTAAAATTGTTTTCCGATCTTACATTCTTATATACTTAAGTATGTAGTATGTATGCATGATACAAGTTCTTATAATGATATATATCATGGTATGTACATATGTATAAAAATAGGTATGAATATGTATTATAAGTTTAAACTTACTGAAATTTAGCAGAATTCCACACTCAGCACACTTGTATCGCTGCGCTGCCAAACCGATTTCTGGACAGATTTCATCGATGGGATACCGGCGTTCCGATGCTACGACATGTGCACATATACGCACCACACTGTCCACACACTTTTGATGGGCCAGAAAATTGCAATCGCTACAGATATAACAAGCTTGTATCATACGCCATATGATACCACTGCAATGGTCACAATATTGACGGGTACCAATGTGTCCACCACGTTGTACATTAAAGTGATGACCCACAACTGTTTTCACATGAGGTGCCAATTCTAAAGGATCCGCTTGTGCCGACTCTAACTCTTTCAGTGAATAGCGCAAATCAACTAAATGGCGGACCAGCCAACGTCTTTCTTCACTGCATTCATCGGAAAGCATGACCAAATCCCGACAATGGGCAATAGCTGCTTCCAAATCTTGTGCGTTGGCGTCAGAAGTAAAGATTAAACGCCATTGTTCTTTTACTAAAGATGCTGGTATTGGATAGGATCTATCACTTTGCGACGCAGTAGAGCTAACATCGTCGTCATGAACACCAGTGGCACTATTATTAACACTATTCTGCTGCAACAAACTGGAAGCACTTTCGCTGATGAACGTAGTCAATGCTCCGGGTATACTGGCTAAACTACCTCGAATAGGATTCATTTTTTACCCCTTGAAAACAGTCAAAACATTTAATCACAAGAATTTCATATACAAATAACACAAGAACAAATAATTAAACATACAAAACCCAAATAAAAACAGCTGTTATTCAGGGCATCGCGGAATGCAGTATGGTTAGGGTTGTAGTTTTGTGGAAAAAATCGAGTTTATCATCTCGATAAAACGTGTTAAAGGGCGGAATACACAACGCAAGCGGCTTGACGCTACTATGCGAAAAACAGCCTTTGCTATTCATATTTCGCCATGCACCAAGCAAACATGACTGGTTTAAGGAATAATATTAGTTTTACTCTGGTCCACAATGTAAAAGAGCTTGGTTTTGTTCCATTTTTCTCTCTTACGTCCTCATTCGGAGAAAATTCCATTGCGAATGAGGCAATTTTATCATACACAATGCAAGCGGTTTAATGAAACGTCAACATGGCGGCCATAAAATCAAAAAATTTTGATTTTTCTTCAAATTTCCTTCAAGCGGCTTGTCAAACCTTCAAATACCCCTATACACAACACAAATTTCTTCAAGTAATGGGATATTTCGCTTGGTTTGTCAAGCCGCTTGTCAAATCAAACCCACTTTTTGTTGTCAAATCAAAATTTTTTGGTTTTCCGGCCGCCATGTTAACTCATGATCATTTGCAACAGGATTTCTACCGAGTGAGTGCGTAATGGAGAAAAATTTAAGAAAACCAAACTTTTTGACATGGTGCACCGGAGACAACCAAATTTGACAAGGGATGACGGAAAATCGTTCCACATTACATCACACTCCTACCCTGTCGGAAATACCAACAACAAAAATGAGAATAAAATTCTTTGCTTAAACATGACAAGTTTGCGTGGTGTATGGCAAAATCGCAAAAGCAGGTTTGAAGTCTGTTTGACAAGCCGCTTGTGTGGTGTATTTCGCTCTCTATTAATTCAAAATATGGAGAATTAAAAACTTTAGAAAATAAAAATAGGTTGCTGCCTTACCGGTTCTGCAAATACAGTTTTCCTCTGCAAGCAGGTAAGGTATATTCAGCTCCGCAAAAATCAAGTGAAATTTGTGGCAGAGATATCGGACCTCGACACACTACTCTATTTAGACCGTCTGAAACCGGGCGAGAAGAGCAGAGAGTAGTAGTTTATCTCAGCCTCTCGTCCCCTCTCGACCGCGAAAAACCGCTTTCAAACGGCCTGAAAATACTAGTGTGTCGAGGCTCATGAAATATGTTCGATAAGTCTCTGTATACGATTACTTTGAAAATAAATAAAATACTCATAAAATCGAGTGTGACTCGAAATTTTGTAATAACTACCGATTACTGAAAAATCGCCATTACTAATAAAACATATGATCTGTTCATTTGTGTGTAAACATCCTTGTTGTTGAATCGCTATTTGTTATTTGTATAAATATAGCTAATTATTGACGAAGCAACATTAAATAGTGATCTTGATTCTAAAGTAGTTTGGTATTTTTGCAAATTTCTTGTCAGTTATTACTTAGTGAGTCACCCTGCGTATTTTTTCTTGGGGATCTGGGATCTTTAGAATCAGTTCATCGACTCTCCGCTCACTAGTGCTAGGTTAACGAAATAAAAATACTTGAACCTGGCATTATATGGATCAGGAGTGATTCCTTGCCATTTAACATACGCACAAACCGCTTATTAACAAAAAAAGTTAAATAAAAAAAGATAAGTTCGAGGTCTGGAAATTGAACAAATGCACATAAAGGCAAGTCAATAAACCTCGGAGGCTAGATATACGAAACATGTTTGAGTATGGTAAATAAAATAGTGTTAAGTAGCAATAGCACACACATAACTTTTCTCAATTTTAGACTGGGATACATTTTCCTCGCAGGAAGCGAAAATAAATACCAAAGACACTGACTCAAAGAATACAACTTTTAAAAGAAATGATAGCCAAGCTCAGAGTGAAACGAACGACCCAATTTCAACCGGAAAAAGTAGCATACATTCAGGGTGTAATTCAAGCTTCCAAGAGGGAAACGTACTCTCATTTGAATATCATCTTAACATTGACACTGTTTGCAGAACGTGCTTAAAAAAAATTGATGCAAGCATTCCGAACACATCCACTATTAAATCGCATTATCAAATTTTTGATACTGCAAATCTCGCGAAGAAACTAACCTCCTGTACATCTTTAAAAATTGAGCAAACGGATAAGTATCCCAAATACTTGTGCAACAGTTGCTTCAATAAAGTCAATGATTTTTACCAATTTCAAAGTATGTGTGTGGAGTCGATGCAGCAATTTTGCCAAATGTTCTTGGTTCCAGTCAGTCAAATTACTTTTGATACCGAAGTTCCTCGAATTAAAACAGAACTTGACTGTGATGACCCACTGCATTCTGAAGCGTTTTGTGATTCCATCGAAGACGCCAAACAATCATCATGCTTTGTTGATAACTCTAACTCAGTGATAGAAAAAGACCAGCTACCATTAGGTGATACCAACTCCTTGATGCAATGTCAGGTTGAGTACAGGGATAACAATAGTTTACTCCAACCACTTCGGCACGCACTATTCCAAGAGAAAAATGTAAGTATCGCGGGTTTTGTTAATCCTGATATATTAGTACTTAATACTTGATCCACAGAGTAAAAAGGAGGGTACAATAGAAGAAAGTTTCCAAAATAAAATGGATGAACTACTAAGGCGCCAAACGGAAATTGTGAAAATTGTTGCAGAGAACAATGTTCTATTGCGAGAAAGTTTAGGGATGTCTTCTGTCTCTTCCATCAAATTCCCATTAGAAACGGATGATAAGTTGGAAGAACTAGAAGCGCGACTAAAAGTGGAAAGCAAGGCAGAAATTGTAAGCCCAAATGCCTTCAAAAATAATAAAAACCCATAAAAAAAATAAGCAATTTAAAAATGTTTAATATTCGCTTACAGGTTGGTATTCTTAGAAGAATAACTTGCGGAAAAATAAAGGGTATTGATGCGATATTTGGAAAGCAAGTAGTTATGGGATTCAATTATAACGGAGATAAAGGCAAAAAGCCTTTAAAATTTTTCAAAAATTTCCTAAATGCTCTATACGGTAGGCGATTACCTAAGGATCCATTTGTGAAATTGTTTAACGAATTATTTTCTTCCTTATAGAAGCCACCTACGAAGAGGGCAGAACTTTTGACGAATTTTTAATAAGTCTTCGGCAAGAATTTAAAAGAGTGAAAAATCGGTTTTGTAAACAGAAGAGTAGAAAGAACAACCGTTAGCATGTAACTTATAGTTTATATTGCACACCTGCATCTAAAGTGAGCTAACTAAAAAATCATACCGGACATTATAACTGCTTGTGAATCGTACAAATTCAACGCGATTAATACAAAAACAGGTACAACAATAGTTTTTTAGTTAGAGTATGTAATAATAAAAAAAATGCATTACTTGGAGGTATGTCCTATGAATTGATTTATGCAAAAAATCGTCCTAGGTGTGCGATATGTACTATTCAGTATTAGTTAGTTGTAAGGTATTTTTATGATTTTTTAATAGATAAATACTACGAACAAAAATTTCACAATGTTTGTAAAGTTAAGTATAGGAATAAAACCACACCTAAAAATTACTTCACTTTACTAGACAATAAATTATTTGTGTTTGTTAATCACTCTTAACATTTGTCATATAAAAGGTAACGAATAAGGCTAGTTAAAATAGTGTAACCCACGCGAAAGTTCACAGAGATTGTAGGTTGGTTACTGGGCAGCCTTGGTAAGTGGTTATAATTCATATTCAATTTCCAACAATAAACTGCTAAAAATAAAAGTCATAATATCCTATAAAGTGTGAATACCTACTGTAATTGTAGGCATAAAGCCGCCTGTTCGACTTGAAGTAGAGGAATAGCGTGAAGAAAATTAAAATTTGTAATCAACTGTGTCCGTTATGAAGTGATACTAATTTCTATAAATTTATGATTAGGATTACCTAAGAGAATTTTGTATTGCTTAAGAGAATTTTTAAATACAAACGGTGAGGAAATAAAAAGTAGCTGTTTGTTTATACCAAATCTCTCTTTTTTGCGTTCAAAATCTCTGCGTTATTTAAACTCGTAACCTTGTCTAGTAATTGTTTACTAGCGAGAAATTTGATTTTTTTTTCTTATAGTCACAACCCTTTAGCACGGAATCTACTACGTCATAGAACTGTGCATATACATAGAAATATGTGTGTACAAATCTGCATTATTATGTGTTTACACATATACATATATATGTATTTACACAACTACAATAACATGGAAGTACTAACTGATTTTTTTATTTCTCTGTGTAATTTGGAGTTAAGCCAATTTTGATACCGGCCGCAACAGTTAACTACGAAACTCCATCGCGCTCAGTACATTTTAGCCGTTGCCGTCTAACTCGTCTGCAAATATACGCTCCTAAAAGGCATATCACACATACATATATATATATATAAATAAGTACATATATGCACATTGATATCGGGTATCCGAAAAATTGAAAAGCTGAGCATGTGATAAAACTTAAAGAACTTTTTACTTTTGATGTTATAACGTTTATATTTTTCAAGTTACCAAAGTGTGTACGCGTTTTACATTAGATATTCGTACTTTTCACCATATTTTTTGAAAAGTTCTTCGTAACGGTATATTTAGAATGAGTGAAAACAATGTTGATTCAGCTGCAACATCCAAGACAGCATCAACTCCACCCGTGACACCGCCTCCAACTCCTATACCGAAGGAATTTAAGGCGCCACAATTTCAAGATGACAGCCTAATACTTTATTTTCATCCATATAATTTCCATTCGCAAAAAGTAGGTATAAAATATGAGATCATGTGATTGATTCATGCTTTCGCAGTTGAGCGCAAGCCCTTGTCCGTACTTGACAATTATCAAATTAACTATAAAATAATATGTATATAAAAACCAACCCATAATGAGAAGTGCTCAAAAAAAAACAAATAAATCAAATTAGAATATTAAATTCGAAATTGTACTATACGTACATAAGTGTGAAATTTTGCTAAAGTTGTGAGTATGTATGTATGTACGTAGATGTTTAGTACTCACAGCTTCATGTCTGAAAAGCAAACAATGGATAATAAGTTGAATATAATCATTCTGTAAACAAGCGTTTATGCATACATAAATACATATACATATAATAACACGCATATGAATGCAGACATATCGTCGCTTAAAGTACAAAACCGCGTATCGTCATTCTGCAAAACCACGTAACTGACATTTGCTGCCAAAAATTGGATTAGCTCATCAAGCTCTTGGCTCAATCCTTATCCATTCATCCTGAAATATACTAGCCAGAAATGCGATTGCTTTATAAAATAGAGAACCATTTTGAAATATGGGTGTTTTTACTCTCTCGAAAATAATTTATGCAACCTCACATACGCGGTTTTGCATTTTGTTGATACGCGGTTTTGTACTGTAAACGACGATATGTATGTACATGCACATTTACAGCTAAGCTAGTTGCATCATGAAATAATAAATAAAATCATATATCGTCAACATCAATGCAAAAGGCCCCTCTGCAATTTTCTTGAAAATTCTTTTTTTTTTTACATTTTTCATTGGTTTATTGTAAGAATCGCCACCATATTAAAATTTAAAGGCATACCCTAAAAAAAATGTCATTTATTGGCGTTTTTAGATGAGCTCTGTATCATATTATTGTACGTATGTATGTAAATTTAATTGAGGATGATATTTATTAACAGTTTTTATAGCTTTTAAATGAATTTCTTAAATTATTTAATATTGAAATAAAAATTAAAACTCCGCAATTCAAGGTTATTCTGGTACTTTACGAAAAGAATATCGACTTTGTGCCATATGCCATCGACTTGGCAAATGGCGAGCAATATTCAACGTGGTTCCTTAATCTAAATCCCAAGGCAGACGTACCTGTTCTGCAAGATGGCGCTTTTATCATACCAGATTCGAATCACATCATTAGTTATGTGGAAAATAAGTTTAGGGGAGGTGAGTATATATGCGCNGGCGAGCAATATTCAACGTGGTTCCTTAATCTAAATCCCAAGGCAGACGTACCTGTTCTGCAAGATGGCGCTTTTATCATACCAGATTCGAATCACATCATTAGTTATGTGGAAAATAAATTTAGGGGAGGTGAGTATATATGCGCATATATATAAATGTATGAATTTAATAAGATATATCGTCCCCCTTATGTCATATACAAATTTAAGAGTACCGTTAATTTCTTCATGATCCAATGCACTAAATCAAATTACCTGGGAGGTGCCACCTTGCCTTTCAAAAAAGAATTGTGGAAATCGGTTAACGTGGTCCAAAATTATGCGGTAACATACATAAAAGAAAAAAATATTCCGACGAATTGATAACCGCCTCCTTTTTTGAAGTCGGTTAAAAATGTTGGGAAATCAAGTTTGAAGGTTTTTTATTTATGAGAAAATTGNACCGCCTCCTTTTTTGAAGTCGGTTAAAAATGTTGGGAAATCAAGTTTGATTTTTTTTTTTTTTATGAGAAAATTTTAATATAAGTGGTTTCCGGGTACGAATGGTATTCTCGGTCAAGTCCACCCAATAACTCAAAATTGGTAAATTTGCACATTGCACATGCTTCTGGCATAAGGGTGACGATATGTAAATAGTGGGAGCAAATAGTAGTTACAAATTTAGAATATTTTTGTTTTGTTACTCATTTAAATTGTTTTACATACAAATTTTTAAAAATTTAGGCATATTAATAAGAGTTCAACTTGGTTTTACCAAAGTTTTGAATATTTATTTTCTCAAATTTTTTAACGGCACTTTTTACTTCCCCACAGCTATGCATAGTGCCTTAAAACCGCGCGGTAACAATGAGGACGAATACAAAAAAATGGAGTTTTTCGAGACCATAACTAGTCGATTGCCTGTAGGTGCGCTTAGTTTGGGTTCTTTCATTCATGATGATCTAAAATTAGCACCGAAACCGCCATTTATTGGGCCAATACGCAAATCATGCTTGANATGGTATTCTCGGTCAAGTCCACCCAATAACTCAAAATTGGTAAATTTGCACATTGCACATGCTTCTGGCATAAGGGTGACGATATGTAAATAGTGGGAGCAAATAAGAGTTTGTACAAATTTGGGCATTTTAATAAGAGTTCAACTTGGTTTTACCAAAGTTTTGAATATTAATTTTCTCAAATGTTTTAACGGCACTTTTTACTTCCCCACAGCTATGCATAGTGCCTTAAAACCGCGCGGTAACAATGAGGACGAATACAAAAAAATGGAGTTTTTCGAGACCATAACTAGTCGATTGCCTGTAGGTGCGCTTAGTTTGGGTTCTTTCATTCATGATGATCTAAAATTAGCACCGAAACCGCCATTTATTGGGCCAATACGCAAATCATGCTTGAGTAAGATTTAATCTGCTTATTTAATTTTTTATTTTTTATAAATTGTGAACTCTTCTTTTTTCCAGAGAATAATGAGAAAGTTTACGAAATATTAAAAAGATCCATTGATGATGCAGAAACTAATAAAATTAATCTATTGCGCAAACTAGATTTGCAAGATAGACGCAAAAGGCTGGTCCAATCTCGTGTGGAATTTCAGAAAATCCTTGACGCAGTCGAAAATGTTTTGCGTTATATCGACAATGATTTTAAGGAAAATCCTGGACGTGAATGGCTTATTTCAAACGAATATTCCTTAGCTGATGTGAGTTTCGGTTTATTACTGCATAGGCTATATCAGTTGGGTTTCGAAAATTACTACTGGTCGTATGGTAAAATGCCATACGTCGAAAGTTATTTTCTGCGTTTCAGAAAACGTACAGCCTATCAAAAGCTAATGCCTAGCAATTTTAAAATACTAAAAGATATTTGGCAGAACACACCTTCGAATTATAAGATCGGTGCCGGTGCCGGATTTCTGGGTATGGCCATGTTTGCAGCTCTAGCGCACAAATAATTGTATAGATTTTTACCGGTAGATTTGAGGGCTATGTGCAATTTAAGACCATCAGTATTCAACCACCATGGAATCCGATAATACGTATAGCAACAGCTGCATCTTCTACATGGCAAATGCAACAACTTTTAAATTTATAACAGGTGTCGGTAATAGAGGAACTTCATGTATTGCGGTATAGGTATTTGTTTTTAGAGAGTTGTATCAAATGTACGAACTTTATTGTATTAACCATGATAAAAACATAACAAGGTAGAACCGTTCTCTCAATTTGTCGGCCATGATTTTTTTTTGAACTTTGCCAACATCTTAAAATCATATAAAAGTGAAAATAAAAAATTGAAATTGTTCGAAATTGTTGTTGCTTGAGATTGAAAATGAAAATGTGTGTGTGAGTTTGTGAGTAAATTTAAAAATTAAATTGTTTGGAAACGTCAAGAATTTCAAAAGTGACTCTCAGCGGTTCTACCTTACTATATTTTTATCATGGTATTAACAGTTTTTTTACTAAATCAATTTTTTGTTTCAAACAAATAAAGTTGATTTCTTTCAGTAAAAAAAAAACTTAAAAATACGGGATCACATGGTTTGTGCGACCTAAAGGAAAACAACTGGATTTACTTCATTTCTGTATTATAACCCTGTTTTTGCCTTTTTTAAATCGTCACATGTTAAGGCAATAACAAGCGCTGTAGAATTGCTAGAATTGAAGATAAGCGACTATATCACATTACATTCATATACCACAATACCCGAAGTTCCTCTAGACTCTTTGCATCAGGAGTAGTATACAATTAGTCATAACAGGAATCGACTATTACAAAAGCATATCGTCGATGTTTTTGCAAAACCGTCCATCGACCAGTTGCAAAACGCCCAAAATCGCCGTTGTGGCAAAATGAGATTTGATAACCTTGAACTCCACAATGAGATTTATGCTAAACAATCACAAAATCGTTATTAAAACAACAGATTTGTATAATAATAGCTAGAGTAAAATACCGCCTCTCAAGGCAATGCCTTAAAAGAAAAACCGTTTTTTCGACTCTCCTGTAAAATTTGAGTGCCGTAAGATAGGCGGTTTTGCAATTGGTCGATGGGCGGTTTTGCAAAAACATCGACGATATGTACATATGTATTGTAATTGTCCGCTGGCATTTTAACTAATTATCAAACCTCAATGAAATGAATTAATGTAGATTTTCTTTAACTTAAATATGACTTCGATGTACATACTACATACATACATTTGTAAATTAAAATAAGCAATTTGTTTTCGAAAAAATATGCTTGACAAAATAAAATATAAAAATTTAAAGGGTATATTTACTTGCCACTTTCAGCAAGTTTTAATAAAAACCCAGTGTTACAATGGAAGTAGTAAAAGGAATTTATGTTATTAGCTGATTAAAGCGTAGAAAAATAGGTGATCTACTAGAGTTTCTTGTCATATAAGAAAGGATTTACAACATTCGATTCAAGAATCAATATTAAATACATATTTCGAACTTAGTGACTACAATTCCAATTTGCCGTTACCTCCTTAATAAGCCTCAATATGTACCATTTGGACCATTTACAATTTTTATCTTATCACTAAACAACAAAAACGATAAAAACAATGATTTTACACACAAACAAGTATCT